CCAGAAAGTATGTCACTTTGGCTATAGAGCCTTGTATTTGTGTATGTGACATTGGTCAAAGCCTAACGTCTCAATTGCAAAAACGAGGGCCTATAGCCAACGTGATATACTTTAACTTTGGCAATGATGATGGCTTAATATACAGTATAATCCTACATGGGCGTACCGGAAGGAAAAAATTAGGGGGGCGGAAAGAAATTTGCCCGACTTTTCGGGATTATTTTGGCAACCCCCCCCCCGTCGCCAAAAAATTTTCGGTCAGTGTACCATTTTAGGGGTCAAAAAATTTTCCGGACATACCAAAATTTTTCGTAACATCACACAAATTTTCCAAACAACACAAAATTGACCACAAAATTGACTAAATTTCCGACTAAATTGACAGAATTTGTCCCATTTATTTTTATTACAAATCAAAATTGCCTGACTGTTGATCGAAAATTGCCCGACTGCCCAAAAAACTGGGGGGGCTACCGCCCCCACCCCCGGTACGCCTATGTAATCCTACATTAGAGTGCTGCACCACAGGCTCAATTCCTGCCAGGGACATAAAGTTGCATTCCTTGCTTCTACATTTTTACTTGTTTCCAACCATGAAACTGACTTGATGTCATTTTCTCAATTTTTCATTTTCTTGATTGCTTTGGTTAGGATTTGGGTTAGTTACATTGCCATTTAACATCTCTTCCATCTTCCAACAACGTTATGTCAGTTGAAAATGAGTATCGACTGAAGTGACCAACAATTAATCAATTATGACAATTAATGAACCAATGCAAGCAGCTGTACTTTGAATTATCTAGTTTGTTAACCCATTAAGTTGCATTGTGCCCTAGCTACTTTATAATTTTACTCTGTCTAAAGGCGGTTTTCCAGTCCTCGCAGCGAGTGCTTGTATCTAATTAAAATTAACTATTTAGCATTGTGATTGGATGAAAGTGCTCATGTATCACTCGCAGCCAGCCGCAAGGAGCTTCGTGCGAGGACTGGAAATCTGCCTTAACACCAGACGATTTTACTTGTCAAGGGGAGAGTGCTGGCACTTAATGGGTTAACTGGCCTGTCTGGTATTGCTTCATTATGCTTGCCTTTTCCATTCTATTGTTGTGTCAGAAAGTCTTCTCTGAATTTCATCTTTAAACTGAGAGAATAATTCATATTCTCCCTCACCTGAATGAAATTATTTATCTGAATTTAATAACGCAAAGCTGTGTACATAACAAATTTACTTCAAAAATTACTTGCTACAGTATAAACAAAGAACTTACACGTTATAGTTGGCAGGAACTCCATCGTTCCAATCACAAAAAGTCGAGGACAAATATTTTACATCCTGTCAAAATTCCAACTATTTCCATGGCTCGAGTATAGTGTTCAAAAGTCGATATTTACATGGCTTTCAGACAGTTTTTCTTCGCGTTTTCAATGGTGCATGTTATTCATTTGATAATTACCATATTTGTTTAGTTGAAAACTCAATAAATAAGCAAAAAATACCATAAAACTACATGCAAATTAAGGAAACAAAATTAAATTTCATTGAATTTGCAGAAAATTTCCTCACTCCTTCTCCAAAATACTTCCACTTTATATTATCAAATTTCCTTAGTTGTCGCGCCTGCGCGTAGTGGGATTGCTGTCGAGACTCTGCGAATCAGCGACAGAAAACAGTGTTTGGTATTGTTGTGGATTGGACGTTTAGTCATTGTTCATACTAGATTAATATAGATGAAATTTGCATTGCAAACAAGCAAAACCTTTGCAATGTCATCCAACACACCACTTATAGGCATATATGAACTTATGGACGACGGTCCACAAGGATCGGGGAGCGGTCTTCCACCTGGCTTGATCGTCTTGATCGTGGGTGAAGATTTGATAGAATTTTTCTTCATTTTGAATTTGATTTCAATTTGACGTCTTTCCGTTCATCTTACATGATTCAATAGGCAATTCCAGCTTTTAGTTTATGCGTGCAGGGGAGGATGGAAAGTAAGGTATCATATTGCTGATTATGCTGAAAAAATAAAAATGGTGGCCGTGTAAACACGGAGTGATAGCTTATACTTGTAAATGTTGAAATATTTCGGTTGTTTCGGTAAATTTTATTGAAAATTTTCAGCATAATCGGCAATATGATACCTTACTTCCCATCATCCCCTGCAGGCATAAACTAAAAGCTGGAATTGCCTATTTCGCCCTGTTTCATTTTGAATTTGTAATAGCTGCCTCTTGGAAAAGAAGAAAGAGAAACTTACTATTAATATTAGTTACATGAAATAAATTTGCGCTGAAAAATAATATCACTAATCAAACTGACTCATTTGTCTTAGTGGTTGGAAAAAATTATGGAATAAAACCTACCGATTTTCGTCATGAAAGCAATCCCTCTGTAGCGGCCGTACCTCTCCCTTGTCCTATAGATTAGATTAGATTAGATTTATTAAAATACTTGAATGGCAGTTCAAAATATATAATTATGTGATCGTAATCTGTCAATATTAAGGGGCAATTTTTTTCAATGTCACGTATTTGCAATGAAAAGTGTTCAAAACCTAAAATCTTTTTGGCGTATACCTCTCAAAATTACTTTGTTTTAGCTTTATTCTCTAGTTTATAGAGTTAGCAACCTTTCAAATGCATCTTCCGGTTGAGAAACATAAAATAATAGTTAAAAATTGTCAATTAAAATACAATTATCAATGATGCTTTAATTAATTAAAATTGACGCCATATTTACAGCCATATAAGCAAAACTTACTGAACTTCAGACATCATTTTCTCTTTGGCGTAAATCTCTTCATTTTAGCATTATTTTACAGATAAAACACTAAACATACTTTTTAAGTTTGTTTGCCGATTGAGAAACATATCGAAAAACTAAAATTTTGAATTTAGTCATAACCTCAAGCGATATATTATACGCATTGGTTTTGAGCGCGTGTTACGTAACATAGAAAAAAATCTCCTCTTAAAGAATAATGGTCGTCATGAAAGCAATCCCTTTGTGTGAAATCGAAACAGAGATGGATAAAATGGAACGTATTTAATTGTGATCTGAATACTATCATTAACACTATCATCATTCACTAATAGGATATTTTTGGAGGAAGGTACCTGATATCGTATTCAACGTTAATTTACCTTGCAAAATTCGACACAATCTTTTTTTTTAATTTTTATTTTATAATGATCGCTTCCTGGAAAAGAAGAGAAACTTACTATTAGTTCCATGAAATCAATTTGCGGGGAAAAAACAAACACCGTTTAATATCAAGTATTAAGGTATTCATGCAACCGTCAAATTCATTCTCGTGACACGAAATTCCTCCACGCGGCGGGTAAATCTTCACGCTTACTGGAGCAGTTAAAAATCCCATATCCCGCGTAAAAAAACTATCACAATGGCCGCCATATTTTCTTATTCTTTGATACAGTGTAAATCCTTACGGACATAAATTTCGTTGCCGGTGGATGCATCGTAATAAAAAAAACAATGTAAAAGTTTTTCATCGAATTAAAAAGGTAGGAAAAGAACTATAATATAGCATGATAATAGTATTATATTGTAGCATTTTTCGCGCTTGAATTGTTTTAGATAAAATCAACATGGTAATTGCCATTTAAAACATTCAATGCTGTTGATAAAATGATTAGATATTGAAAATTTATATGTTTCTTTGTCTTTCTGGAGTTATAAAAGTGCAATTTGGTTGATCTTGATTCGACTATATTTGTAATTATGGCGATAACGAAATATCGTTATTTTGCCGTGCTGCTCTCGGTCTTCAATATATGCATGTAGATTCTCCCTCAAAATTTCCACACACGAAAAACCTTTATTCCCGCAAGATAATAGATAAATATATATTGTACATACCTGGAAGAGATATCAGTTGCCAATATCTTCCCTTGATACATTAATGTCTGGCTAGTTAAGGTTTAATTGACCCAAACGATGCAGCCTCTTCTATACATACAAGAGAATCAGAAACACAAATTAACTGGTTTAACTAAATATCAGTTATTACTCGATTCAACTAATGTCGGAGGATGTTGAAGCTGGAAATTTCGAATACATTTTTTAGTTGACCTGCATGTAAGGACAAAAACATACGAACAGCCAGTAACGAAACTTTCGTAAAATCGCTGATCGCTATATTGGTTCCCGCTTCTCGTTTCTTCTGCAACCGTGAGATACTGAGTTGTAATTAATTACTTAAGGAAATACGCTCAGTAAATTACATTCTGTGTGTGTGTACATGTCTGCATATAATTGTTCTGTCAATAAAAGATCGATTAAACGTAATAATAACATGCGACCGAAGCCATGAACAGTTTTAGCTTTCGTAAACGTTTGAAGAAGAAAATTAAGTATAACTTTTCACCACACTGACATTTCCAGATAGTTGAAAAGGTCACCGACTTAAAGCGAATTATATTGTATATTTTAGAATTATATTTTAGAATTATATTTTAAATTTGGGGAGAATGTTTGTTGTAACGACATGCAAAACATATAAAAAACACCCAGTTTTGTGACGCTTGTTTTAAATATTTCTGGTTTCAAGTGTAATCCAAGAATTGTGTGGTGTTAATCCGGGATTTCAATTTGCCTCCCATTACCGCGCTCCCAAATTTCACCGTCAATGCCCCCTCTAGTGTTATTTATAATCTCTATGGCCACACCATGATTCGTCATCAAAATGCTGACGCCATGGACACCACCCTTGGACGTCCGCCATTTTGAATATTACCAGGGGGTGAATGCCTCTCATAAGCGCACTGACTGGGATGACGAATCACGGTTACGCCAAAATTATAGGAAAAACCAAAGTCGGGCTTCTGTATGTAGTCTTTCTGGGGCGTAAAACTGACTGAAACCAATCTATTCATTTAAATATAACAGTGACATATCTAATACATCATACACAAGATTAACAAGAGATATTCAATACTAACTACAATGTTGATGTATTTAGGTTGAATGAAATGGTCATATGACTTCGTGGAGCATATATGTGGGATGTTTGTTCTTGGTTGCATATACCAAAGCATCATACGGCAGCACAAAGATAAGTAAGGACTTTTTACCTTCAAAAAAGATCCATCACTTTCAATATTCAATCTGTGGAATTCTTCCTACACTTGAATACTCCAAGTATTTATCACACTTCTCCACTTGCCTTTCATTATTGCTTTGACCTAAATAACAAAACAATATTTATCATTCACTAATAGGGCAGGAAACATCGTTCAGGAACGAAATTCCAGTTAATCAGAGAGAAAAATCTTTGGCTAAGCACGAAAATGGAATCACAGATCAAAAGAATTTTAGTTCATCCTCTGAGAAAAGTACATCGAGATGTGGAAGCAGTATTATAAAATGGGATCACAACAAGGAGAGGAATAGAAAAGTGCAGAAGATTAATATATCTGAGTCTGGACATTTCAAAAGAACGAAATACGGTATTTTAAACAGAACTAGGAATATTAAAAGGATCAATTCGAGACAGTTGATTGTAAATCATGTCAAGAAAGAAAAGAACAGAACTAATAATTCTAGCACATCAGTCAGCTCGTACCACAAAGAAAGAATCAGCGCATTTGTCAATGGTACAAAGCGCGAGGAAGGTAAGTATTTGCGAGTGTTGTTTGTGTCTAATTAGAACAAAATTAGGAGTCATTCTCATTCCATGCAAACCTTTGCTGCAAGATTGTAGGTCAATTTGTAGTGATTCGAAGAATAGAATGTTAACTTATCCCAAGGACTATCTTAATTAAGCACATTTTCCACTAAGCAAATTTTGTTTGCGCGAAGCGAAAAACAAATCTTGTCAATGTGATTGGTTAGCGAAGAAATTCGCCACAAAAAAGTTGGACCAGTTCCTACTTTTTCACTGTTCGCGCGAACAAATTTGCCCAGTGGGAAATGGGCTTAACATCGTCTGGTGGTAAACGGAGTAAAGATACACCTGGAAGATAGTCCGGTTAACCTATTAACGTCCAGTACTTTTCCATTGACTAGCAACCATGTAGGGGTGCATTAGAGCCCATGATTGTGGTTTTGTGGATTAATGCGTTCTCTTATTTTAGTTTTTGGAGAGAACAAAATGGACTTAGTGTTTGTTGTTGGCGGTTCAAAGGATGAAAATTTCGACATATCAGGTCATTATAAAATGTGCCTAACACTGGCGGACAGTATTGCTGAGAAATATGACATTGATCGTGATAAAGTGCGGGTCGCTTTGGTTACCTATGGTGCTCTCTCAAAAATGACGTTCGATCTACAAGATTATTCAGATAAGGAGTTATTAAAGAACGCGTTCTTAAAGGCAGAGTATCCAGGAGCCGGCAGTGAGACAGCGCAAGCTTTAGACATGGTAAGATCTTCCGTATTGCCTACAGGGAGGGAAGGACATATAGCTAAAGTGGTGGTACTCATAACAGCTGGGGTTTCTCAAGATAGCGCTCCTGACATCGCGCAGCAACTGAAAGACACTGGGGTCGAGATATACACTGTGGGAATAGGACCGGAAGTAGATCGACGTCAATTGGAGGTGATTGCGTCAAACCCTAAAGAAGACCACGTGTTCGTCACGGCGTTCGAAGATGCACCGTCCGTGGCAGGACCGTTGTCCTACACACTCAGCAAAGGTATGAATATTCTAGAAACTAAATGGGTGATTAACTATAGACTAAATTTTGATCTAGGCAAGAAGAACGAGATCCAGACATGATATCGTATTCAACGTTAATTCACCTCACAAGATTCGATATAATTTTTCTTCATTTCAACTTTATAATGGTCCCTCCTGAAACTTACTATTAGTTATATCAAATAAATTTGCGCGCAAAAATAATATCACTAATCAAACTGAGTCTTAGTGGTTGAAAAAACTTCAGGAATAAAACCTACCCACTTTCGTTTTGAAGATGATTCCCTTTTTTGAAATCTAAATAGACATGTCATGGATAAAATGGAACGTTATTAATTGTGATCTGAATTCTATCATTAATACTAATGCAGTGTTAATATCGCCCGATATGATATCGTATTCAACGTTATTTTACCTTAAAATACGTAATCGCCCCCTTTTTAATTTTATTTTGAAGTTCTCCCCTTCGGCTTTAGCTCGGAATACGAGGCCTTTCTTTGACATCTAAATAAACATGGATAAAATACAACGTAATTTAAAGTGTGACCCTTTCACTATAATAATAAATGAAAGCAACAGTTTTAACTGTAAACATTTTTTTTAAGTGAAATACATGGCAGATTCAATGGGGATGCAATCTGACAACAAGAACAGACCGAATACGCCTCAGCAAGAGACAACGAGTGGAAGTTATGTATATGGAAATTACGGTTACGGCGGAAAAGGGACTGCTGGTGATGCTGCAAATACTGGAGGGTGGGGTGTTGGAACAGGAGGTGGTGGGGTAGGAGCAGGTGGCGGAGCAGGAGGTGCGGCAGGTGGTGCAACAGGTGGAGGCGCAGCTTGGGGTGGTACAGCAGGTGGGGGTGCAGCAAGTGGAGGTGCAGCAGGTGGAGGCGCAGCTTGGGGTGGTGCAGGAGATGCAGCTGGGGGCGCAGCAGGTGGGGGTGCAGCAGGTGGGGGTGCAGCTGGTGGAGGTGCAGCTGGGGGTGGTGCAGCTGGGGGTGCAGCAGGAGGTGCAGCAGGTGGAGG